GTTGTCTTCGTCGTCGTCGTTGTTGTTGTCGTCATCGTCGTCGTCGTCGTCGTTGTGGTTGTGGTTGTGGTTGTGGTTGTGGTTGTTGTTGTTGCTGCTGCTGCTGCTGTTGTTGTTGTTGTTGTTGTTGTGGTGATGGTGGTGATGGTGGTGGTGGTCGTGGTCGTGGTCGTGGTTGCGCTGCTGCTGCTGCTGCTGCTGCTGCTGCTGCTGCTGCTGCTGCTGCTGCTGCTGCTGTTGCCATTATCGGGTTGATTCGGCATCTTGGCGCATTTTTTCAATTTGTACCCGACATGATGACTGTCTTTCAGTGGTAGTGACAACACTCACCGCAACAGTATGACTGTTGCTTTCGCGTCTATGCCAGTGCAAGAGAAGCTCAGGTCAAGGCGCATACTCTTCACAGTTGTTCAGACCAGGCCTGAAGTTTAACGTCAAGTTCCAGGCCTCAATGTAGTCCCTATCTAGGTACATTGGGGCCAAAGCATTCATATGTCTATCCATATAATATATATATATATACACACACACTAATTATTTGGGTACATGGACCCTTAGGGTTGTGTAGCACACCCTGCCTTTACCGGAGCCTCTGCTGGCTACCAGTCGAAGTAGCAATCAAAGATGTTTCCTATACATGCCTGAAGCTGAGGGCCGCTAAGCTCCACCGAAGGGAGGACCGCACTGATAAGCCCCCTGATTGACGAGGACAAGACACACTTGAAGACCATCCTCCAGAAGCATCGCACCCAGATGAGTGGAACCGCCGACTTCGACTTCGGGTTTAGGCTTAAGGCCCTAAGCCCTAAACCCTAAACCCTAAACCCTAAACCCTAAACCCGAAGTCGAAGTCGTGGCAAGATCAGCACGATCGGAGCCTGGGATCCGAGACTGCTGTGCCATGTCCTCGTCTCAACTGCCATTCCCAAAAACCCTACTCGACCCTATCCCCGCTTGGCACACCTGAAACCCTGCATAGTCTGCTACTATAGGGGCCTTAATAAGTACCTATACTGTTTTGGGGGGGTTCTTCGTCATAATTATAAAATATTTGGCCCCAAACGACTATTCTAGTTATTAAGGCCCTTACATTAGCCATGCTGACCTTTGAACTGTTAAGCTCCATATGGCCGTGAGTGCTTTGAATCGAGGCTCCTCCTTGAGGATCAGAAGCTCGCGATCGACATGGGAACGAAGCCTCGCTCCCAGTATCCAGGGCCTTATGGGAGTTTCCGAAAATAAGGGGTACCTTATTTTGCGCTCCTTATAATAATGATCCTACTATATATAGGGTACTACATTAGGGTCCCCTATTTTCGGAAAGCCCCTTATGATGCCAACGAGGCTTCTCTTTGCTGATACTGCTCTCAGCATCACTACCTTAAAGTTTACCATCATCACTGTTATGAAGTTCTTCCTTATGTTATTAACGCTTCGCGATTGTTAGCGCGTTCTGCTTGATGCTTGTGGTGGCCCGTCAGAAGTTACCACTCGCATTGCAACAGAAGTGTCGCAGCATCTGAAAATGGGCCGGGCCTTGCCACTCTGCAGAAGTTACGCATGGCCTAGCAAGTCTAGGAATGAGGTCGTTGAGACTGGAACAAAAAGCAGATAAATGTCGGGGCCTAAATAATTACCTATACTATTTGGGGGGTTCCTTATTGTAGTTATAGTATAATGGGCACCAAAGCCCTATCCTAATTATTAAGGCCCCTATCTTACCAGCTTCAGCTAAAAACTGGACTCCGCAACCTTCGTGAGGTGTCAGAGTTCCGAAACTCCCCCACATGTGCGGCGTGGCTTTCTCCGAGGTCTGCTTTACTTCGGGGCGCACCCGACACCCTAAACCCTAACCCGCTACAAACCCTAAACCCATAAATCCCCAAATCCCAAACCCGAAGCCCTAAACCCTAAATACATAAATCCCCCCAATCATAAACCCTAAATCCGAAATCCTAAACTTGAACCCTTACGTAAACCCCTAAACCTAAACCCTTCAGAAACAGCACCCGAAACTCCTCCTCAAAGAAACCTGGGACTGCCAAGGTACAACGTTTCTTTGATGAACGCGCGTGCACCCCAGCTCTTGGCAGAGTAATAAACAATAATAACATATTTTGCAAACCTTAGCGCAACCCTGTGGAGGGGACTCTCGGATGATTCCAAAGGTGCAGCCGCATGTCCTGATTCGAGACTTGTCGATCTTACATGATCGAGGGTTTAGGTTTCAGCGTTCAGGGTTTGGTTGAATTAGGGTTTCGGGTTTAGGGATCCTCCTTACTAACTCACCGAAACTCTAAACGCCTAAACTGCTTAAGCCTGAGCCCACGGCAGCAAACCCCTGTGAAGAGAGTCAGAAATCGCCAGTACAGCCTGGAGGTCCCGTATAGGGTTTGGGGTTTAGGGCTTGTAGGGTTTAGGGCTTATAGGGTTTATGGGGTTTAGAGTTTAGGAGCCCTACCTATAGTCTCCAATGTAGTTCCTTTTTTTGGTTTAACCAAATGTATATTAAGGATCCTAAAAGGCAACCCCAAAAAGGAACTACAATGGAGACTATAGGTACCATATAAGTACTTAGACTCTTTGGGAAACCCTAAACCCTAAACCCTAAACCCTGGCTCAAGCCAAAGTCGGCTCAAGGCTCAAGGGCCCAAGCTCGAGTCGAAGTGTGGAGTACTAGTCCTGGCCTAGACACCGCCATATAAGCGCCCGTGCCGTTACTGTCTCGTGAAAGCTGATAACTCCGATTGCAGTTGATCTCTCTGCTAACTCTGTTTTATGAGCGAGGGCGAGCGCCCAAAGAACGTTGAGATATCATTCGGCACGTGGGGGCCGCCACACTTGAGACGTGAACAACCTCTCCGTGACCCGCACCTCTGGAAAGTTCCCCCGGCAGGGCAGAAGCTTGGTGGACCTCTCTTTGACAGGAGATCCACAGCGGTCCCTATGGCTGCAGCTGCATCTACGGGAGACGCAGACCTTCTGGAATTGGGAGCGGCGACGAGGCCGAAAGCAGCCGGACCGGCATTGGTTCCGGTTCCGGCCCAGTATGACCCTGACCTGGATGTGCTCACGACCCACGGGGCAATGGCGGTAGAGGACAAACATCTACACAAAAAGACAGGACAGAAGAGAACACCAGACCTGGATAAACCCTCGCCTACTCGGGTCAAGGGGGATACCGCGAACCAGACGATTACCCTGGACGCAATTCGTCAGCTCCTTCAGGAACAGACCCGGTCCCTCACCGATAGCCACCAGCAGGACCTCATGGACCTCAAGACGGCCACCTTCAAGGAACTCGGGACAATCAAAAAAGACGTCCGGAAACATGGAGACTATATCGACCAGCTCAGAGATAATCAAGAAAAGATCGAGGAACGCCTGAAGCTCCTGGAGACGCGAGGACCAGGCTCTGTGGCGACCACAACATCCGACATCGGGAGACCGAACCTGATGATCATGGGCGGCTGGCCCCAGGACACACCCAAGGAGACTTTGCTGGGAGAGCTGCAACAATGCCTACAACAACTGGGCCTGGAGGACGGTTTTGAAGACATCTTCTGCACAGGACCTCGCCGGGGGTTTGCCATGGCTTTCCTTACCATGCAACCAGATGAGTCCGGCGCGCAGCTGAAAAGACGTATGATCGGAATTGCTCAGCAGGTCCAGAAAGCCAATATCCGCACCTCTACTATGGAGCCGGGACGAACACTCAAGGCAACCTTGGGAAAAACCAAACACGAGCGATTGATCTCCAACCATACTGGAAAGACGAAGCGCTTGATCCTGACTATCTCCCCCCACAGCCAGGGGGCCGTTGAGACAGAGTACTCAGCAGGGAATGTGTGGTTTCATAGCAGGCTTGTTTCCAGTGCCACCCGGCCAGCGCCGCACACCAATTGTGCCCCTGGTAAAGTTGATCGCAGCTGGATCGATGTCCCAGCGCTCTCTCATATGCTACAGGTGCAGTGTGATGAGATATCAAAGCAATGGAGTGACCTGATGTCGCTCTGAGAACTCGACATTGAAGCTGAGCTTGAATTGGTCACGGACCGTTGCAACCAACAACAAAGAGGGAATCCCTCTTCCCATAGTGAACTGCAGGCCGCACCTTGGTCTGGATGTGATGCTGAACAAACAGCGCCACTCCCGGACACTACGGGCCAAAGAATTCATAACTTGCCTTTCGGGATCCACGATATCAGTAGAGATGCCCCTTTTTTGACCCATAACCCTTTCCAATGTCTTAGCCCCAACGAGTTGGCACCTGTGACCTCGGATCAGACACCTCGACCAAGTGCCCCGGCAGCTGAGCTGCCTCTACCTGTGTCTACTGTGCAGCCCGTAACTTACATACGAGTGCCTATTTCGGCGTGGAACATTGGCGGGGGGGACGTGTCAAATGTTGTGCAGTCTACCCGACGTACTTCACAGACCATGCCCCAGATCATGTGTCTCCAGGAAATGCCCCGAATTGATACCGGATGGAAAACCGACATGCAAGAACCTTTCACAATTGTTCAATACAGGCATGACGACAAACAATGGAGAGGAAATGCCATTGCCTTTGGCCCTGACTTCCAGGTCCTCCGCAGGCGAGGATGCCGGTTCGGAATGTGGCTAAGGTTGCGCCACCTTCCCAGCCAAAATGAGCTCTGGGTGGGATGTCTTCGGCTCAGCACTGGGGTTAACAGCGATGTGACAGCCGACGAGCTCCAGGAAGTGTGCAAATTGTTGCCGCCGACTCTTCTCCCAACAATCTTGTTGGGAGATTTCAATACCAAGCTTAGGTGGTCTGGATCACTCGACCCACAAGGTGACCTTAGACCCACAGAAGCTGGGTCGGAGTATGTTCTCTCAGAATTGGGAAGTTGCGGCATGCATATGCGTGCACCTCGCCCAAACCAGTGGGACACCCCAACAAGCAGACCCCGAAGATCCAAAGTCCGAGGGCACCAAATCGATGGCGCAGCATACAAGAACACAAGAATAAGCCCCATCACTATTGAAGTGGACAGCTACAAGCAGATTGCAGGCGACCATGACAGGTTCTGCTGTGACTTAAACCTTAGAAGCGGGGAATCTGTGCCCCCCCGAATTGCCACACAGCCCAGGGTTGTCTCCTCGAAGCCCCCGAAGCTGTATGTCATTTCGCAGCCTGAGCTTCATCACCTTGCTGTCAAGTGCACCCGACCCAAGCCTTCTCTGAGATATACGGACCCTGTATCAGTAAAGGAGCTCTACTCGCGAGCTAAGACCACCAAAACCGAAGCCGCTTGGAAAAAGGCCCACAAAGCCCGACGTGCAGCGCTCGAGCAGTGGCGAGATGATAGAAATACCAAGGCCGCTGAGGGACATTGGCACGACTTCAAAGCATTGCAGCCACAGGGCGGTCACGAATGGACGGTCCACTATGTTGATGCGGCAGAGCATGCTAAGCAGGACCCCAAGAGGTGGACCGTGCAGCACTTCAGGACGTTGTTTCAGCAGACAGCACCCCGCAAGGCCCCTCGCTGGGATAAAGACATTGACACAGGCTGCCATTTCTCACTTGAGGACCTGAGACATGCCATAACGCGAGGCAAGGCAAACAAGGCCGTTGGAGAAGACCTGGTTTCCTATGAGCTGATACGTGCACTCTGTGAGGACCCGGATACAGAAAACGCTTTCTTGGACTGGATGGAACGGCTGCGATGTGGGGAGACTCTGCCCCGGGAGTGGCTACGGACTGTGGTCACCTTGATCCCTAAGAACGATAAACCCCGGGGCCCCAAAGACCTGAGACCCATCAGTGTAGGCGCCTCTGCTGCCAAAGTTTTTGGTACGATGCTACTCACTAGAACCCGACAATATATTCACCCTGTTGGACCAGCCCAATGCGCCCATGGAGGGCGCCAAACATGCGACTACCTGTTTGCAGCGATCAGGACGTTCACTCTCGACACGGAGTGGAAAATGGGCCTTAGCTGGTGTCGGATCGACATACAGAAAGCTTTCGACACACTGGACAGAGACCGAACGCTACAGCTCCTCCGCGACAGACTCCCGCCGGAGATGTATCTTGAGTTCCGATGTTGGGAACGACTTTTCTACGAGGGGACTGCAGTTCTGAAAACGCCCTGGGGCGACACAGAGATTCCCCAGGGCCGAGGGATCCGCCAAGGATCAGTCGAATCCCCCTTTCTGTTTGCAATTGCTATCGAGATGGCGCTACAGAAAGCAATGGAAAAAGATGATTGGCCACACTATATCCCAAGCGCGCCAGGCATGCCACTGGCTGAACTGTTGTTTATGGACGACACCCTACTGTGGGCTGCCAGCAGAGAGGATATGGTCAAAAAGTATAACATCTTACGAGATGAACTCAGCAAGTGGGGGCTACACGTCAACCCGGAGAAAACCAGCTACTACCACTCGCCATACAGCACCAGCCCGGGGGCCATTGCCCTTGATGGGCAGACGATTCAGCCCGCGGCCTGCCTTACGGTCTTTGGCATCCCATTGACAGTGCCTCTGAAGCCTTCATCCTTGATGGACACAGCGATGTCTAAAGCCTCCAAAAAGTTCTACTCGAACAAGCACGTCTTCATGGCGAGGTCTCCCCTGAAAGGAAAGCTGAAAACTTTCAGCACGGTCGTAGGAGGTAGTGCACTATGGTACTGTGCAGCCATTTCGCCGACTAGCCAGGCCCTCAGTGCGATGAACACACTACAACTTGAGCTCGTCGCTAAAACCATAGGCTTCCGACGAAGACCTGATGAAACTTGGCTTGACTACCGATCTAGGTCATTGCGGGGAGCACGACAGGTGTTACACACCAACAACCTGGAGAGACGGTCTACTACATGGCTCAAGCGCTTCTGGTGCTATAAAGGTCATGTTGCTAGAGCAGCATACCGAAACAGACCACCGGCAAGTTCTTACATGGACAGCTATAGAACACTTAGCTGGTGGACTGAACAACAAAGAGGAGGACTAACCCATCCCAAAGCCTTCTATGCCTACCACTCAGTTGAAGAGAAGGCCCTAAATAAAGCTGCCGGCACTGACTGGCGATCGCTTGCCCAGGATACTCAGGCCTGGCTTCTCAGGATGTCTGTTTGGATCGAGGCTATGGACGTCGCATGGGCCTCTGGCCGACAACTCGCCCTACCCCACTAAAAACCCCATTCCCTTAATAACTTCCCATGTAGGTACTACATGACAGGATGCGCCGCTCGGATGAAGCTACATGCTGAAGTTGTGCCGCACACAGTCAGTATCTATGTGTTTCTAAATCTAGTGCCATTCCTTATTTACGTACCTTACCGAAATCCCATGAATGTACCTCCTTGACAACAAAACAATCCCGATCGAACCCGATTTGAATCCTCACTTCGCAGATCCTGCCCGAAGACCGTGTATCACCTGCAGCCCTTTTACAGTATCGAACCTACTCCGCCCGCAGGCAAACGTAAGCCCTGCTCATGATCGTGTGGCTGATCTTGACGATAGCCCTTGGAGAAGCAGATGTAAGGCCGCTTCCTTTCAAGGATTGCCGCCCCACTCTCGACTCGACAACTGCAAGTAACTGCAACCACGACACCGTGTACCACGAGCACCACGAGCACCACGAGAACCACGTCGGCAACAATGCCCGGAAGACCATGGAGGACCCTAACGATGTGACAAGTCTATGGCAGCAAGATCAGCAAACTTCAGCCCCGCCGCCGACTTACAGTGAAACATTCTGGACCCTCTGGGAGGAGGGCCTACAGGTCAGTGAGGCCTTCGCGTACGCCCACCATGTCCTGGCCACAGAAGTGGAGGCCCCGGCGACCCAACTTCTGTGCCTGCAGCAGCTCTCGGAGCCGTTTGGTGGCTATGCTCCGCAGGCGGACCCCACTGCCATCTCCAGAATTATGAAAGCTGTGGGGCGCGAGGTTGCAGAACGATGCGTGCAGATGACTGCATGCCGAGGCCCCGTCCTGGGAAACGACACAGAAGAGGAGCAATCCGCCGAGGGAAGTACCAGGGTAGCAGCAACGGAGGAAGGCGACGAGACACAGCTCATGGACAACCGAGGCGGCCATGAGGACAAACGGAGAATGAGCCCAACGAGGTTGTGAAAGTCCTGCCACCGTCCCGGAAAAGTGAGTCCACCGTCAAGAAGCAGAACAACCCTCCCTTCCGAGACCGAAGTCATCGCCGAGACCCCCCACCGCCCAAGCCACCTCCCCCTGGCAGAGCCAAGGCCCCACCAAAGCCGAAGCAGAGGCCTGGGTCCTGCCGAGGGGAACCTATTCGGAACCGGTGACACCAGAGGACGACCCAGTGGACCTCGTTGCCGATGAGCAGCACCGCGACGACATGACCGATGAGCCCATGACCACGGAGGACGCCATGGCAATGTGGCATGCACTCTTCGAGATGGAACAGGACGCCAACCTCAGCCCGCTCGAAGCCCCGGCCTTGCCTGCCCACATCGCAGACAATATAGTCGAGACCTTGGTGGACAGGCCAGAGCACGAACACAACGTCCTTGTGGATGCCCTTCCCCTATTCCTGGGGCGACTACATATGGACTTTGCTAGGGCAGTGGAACGAGCGCGCCAACTCCGCAGCCGACTACACGGAGCTGGCAGCTCCAACGATGGGCCTGCGCCTCGAGGATCCAAGAAGCAGGAGGACGAGCCGGATGACAGCGTCTACATGCACCTCTTGCTCAACCGACTTCACAAGGCCTTTCTCAGCTTGCGCCCTGCAAGCGCCAGCAGCAGAGCACTACGCCTTGCAAGCCTACTCGCGGACCACGATGGCCACCTTGCGGTTGACCGGGCCCTCCTGGAGAGCCTACTGGTGGCCATGAATGCTGACACGCCGCCCCTCCCGCAGGGTGACTCGTTGATCATGGAACACCACTGGGTGAACATCTGGTGGAGGAGACTGCGAGGACTCCCGGACATCGACGAGGAGGACATAGAGGAAGAACTACAGCTCATGGAGGATGAGCAGGCTCGACGAGAGAGACAAATTACCGAAGCGGAACAGGCCCACCAAGATGCACAAGAGGAGATGTACTTGCGAGGGCTATCGGCAGCAGTGGAAGCCCACCAAGAGCAACTCAAGGCGTCGGAGGCCCAAGCCCATGATGACGAGGTCATGGCAGCGGCCATGGGCTACAGCAGAGGCCGACCTACTACCCGCCTTTGCCTGGGCGTGTGTGTCACGAGTGGCACCAAAGCCAGGGCCTGGGAATGGGAGCTCGACAAGGGCGCCGAAGTCCAAATCCACATCAAGGCTGAGAAGCGCACCACACCGGGCCAATGGTACAAGGCTGGGCAGCCCGTCCGCCCATGGGAGGTCCCGGCCATCCTCAAAGATGACCTGCCTCCCCAAGCTGCGCCGTCGACCTCTACATCCTCGAGACTACCGGCACCAACGCTCCAGTACGACATCAACCAGCCTGCCACGGCAGAACTCTTCAGGAGATGGCAAGCCAGGCAAATATCACCGCAAAAGGTGGTGGAAATAGGCGGCACGGGCATGCTAGCCTACTTCCACGCCCACCTGGAGCGACCTGAACATGAGCGTGCGATCCTGGAAATGCCTGCCGAGATTTGGCGAGAGCTGGACGACTTGGACACGATGAATTTGGGCCCAATCACTGCGGACACCGAGGACGCCGCAGTACCCCCAGCCATGGCCGGCCTACCTGCGACACTGCCACAGACGGACGCGACGGCTCTACCAGGCGATGATCTCATGCCGGACGGTGAACAGACAGTGCCAGAAACAGGCCCTGATGTTGCTGAGCCCGGCGTGCACCAACACGAAGGTACCGTAACATGCGACCGAGGCCAACCTGTACAGGATGCTAGGCCGAGCGATCCTGAGTAGCTGCTGTGATCCACTTAAAAGGGTGAGCTTCTTGTCTGTTCCCTGCTTTACGCTGTGTTTGCAGTCAGGATCTCGACAGGCCCCACGACTTTACGTACAGTGCATGCAGTCCGGCAGTTCTCTGTAACCTTAAGTACTCTACTTTTCAATAGTGATGTTCCATTTCGATGGTTGTGATTCGCAGCCGACGGACTGAACATGCAGCCTTCCCACCGACCGACCAGCAGTAGGGCCAATTGTCATTTACTGTTGCTATCGACACTCTCCTTAGCATGGGCCTATGCCGTAGCTACACCTTTGCTGTCGCTGGTCGCATGGGGAAAGAACTTACCGCACCGACGAGAAACCGGGAAAAGGTGAGGGTGTCTGCAGTCCGAACAGGTCCTTTTGGTTGACGTTGAACAATGTGATCCCGAAAGTAGCACATGCCTCGTGAGATTACCCGGACCTCCTTGTATTTCAACTTTCCTTTCTTGGGTTTACATGGGTAATCTCACGACATTGAACATGTAGTTATGTTGTGTGGGCCTGAGGTACCCTCTAATTCGTATCATAAGACCTCTTTACAACCTTCAGGCCCCACATTGGCTCCTCCTGGTAAGGAATTCCTGACGTGAATTCAGATGGAAAAGGGCCCACAAAAAAAAAAAAAACCTAAACCCTAAACCCTAAATCCCAAACCCTAAACCCTAAACCGGTAGGAGCCCTAAATCGTAAAGTGCTTCATCATCGTATCAATGTACGCCAGCCTGGCCCCGATTCCTATAGGACCAAGCGACCCGGTAGGCTACAATGCCCCTAACCCTAAGGGTCCAAAGGACCCAATAATAAGGTATTGCAAGTCAGAAGGATTGAACCCTTCAAAATATAGGTCTTCTTTGGTATCATCTACTTTCGTTGCTTCCTTCTGATAAGCTACTTTCGTTGCGGATGGTAGTTATCTAGGTTACTATTCGGGAGAGTATATGATTATTAGGCACTTGGACCCTCAGGGTAACATAGAAGCCTGTATTATTTCCTAGAGTTCCTTATTATGTTTATACTATAAAGGAGCCCAAAACTCTATTCTATTTTTTACGGCCCTTACATAATGTTGTGCGCCCAATTAAAGCTTGCGACGAACCTTACAAAATCCACTGGGGGGCTGCTATGCGGCCCCCAAACCTTCACTGAGCACCCTTGTGAAACCCTGTAGCACACCCTATCAATAAAGCAGGCTGCATAAACTCAAAAAGCACACGGCAGTTCAGCGCAACTCAAACCCGAAAGCCCCACACTCTGGAGTGACTCCCAAAACCTTATAAACCCTAAATCCCTCAACAGTGAATTCACCTTTAGGCTGACCCTCTACACTGGTGCGAACTGCAACCTCTTCCAGTCAGCCAATTCGCAGACGGCCAGAGCCAACGCCTTTGGCCACTACTTGGGTGCAGGGTTTTTGGCTTAGCAGTTTCGGTTTAGGGCATTTTGTGGGTTTAGGGTAGCTAGGCCATATATGGTACCGTAGGCTTAGGGTTTAAGGTTTTGGGGCATAGGGCCTCTGCAGAGAATAGTGTTCACAATAGGGTAGACTGCTTTGGGTGTAGAGTGCCTTCTGGGGGGGAGAGATTCTCGAAATCGAATCCATAAAACTATCCTTTGACGGCGCACCATTTAACGTACATCGTGTCCTCAAACCTTATAGCATGAAAAGCCTCAATCTCGTTGGCATGTGACGAGCTATTCTGCTTATGCATGATGGATTTGGAGAGTATTGTAACCACCGTTGTAGTAGCATCATTAGGTTGATCACTTTGTTGTTGTTGTTGTTGTTGTCGTCGTCGTTGTTACTAGCAGCCAGTACTATTACTGCTACTGTCAGCAGTACTAGCGCAGGATTACTGGTAAGACTGTCACTTCTACTGTTATTATTGATGATCTCTCAATACTGTTTGCTTCGCTTGATTTGTTTACGCTGTTGTTTCTAATCTGTGCTAGGATGGCTATACATGCACATATATTACCTGCTCGTGTGGGTGTGCGTGTTTATACATACATATATACACACACATCTGTATTCCTAGCAACGTGATTGTAGGTTTATGTGTGCAAGTATGTATGTATGCATGCATGCATGCATGCATGCATGTATGTATGTATGTATGTATGTATGTATGTATGTATCCAAGTATCTATGTATGTATGTATGCATGCATGTATGTATGCATGTATGTATGTATGCATTTATGTATGTGTGTATGTATGTATGTATGTATGTATGTATGTATGTATGTATGTACGTATGTAAGCAAGTATGTGTGCATATATGTGTGTATGTATGTATGCATGCATGGATGTATGTATGTATGTACGTATGTATGTATCGCAAGCCTGAGCTGCCCCATCCGAACACTTGTGTCCCGACTGGTTCCTAGCAGATTTATCAGGACAGGCTGGAACGAGGTCTTTTCAGGGTTTCGGGTTTTGGGGGTTGGATCTTGCGCTGAAGAATGTGATGATGTACTCACCACTTCACTCCCTGAACCCCGATCTCGCAGCAAACCCTGTTCGGGCCTCGCTGTGCCCTTCCCTGGGCCCCCAAACTTGCTACAGTCTCTTTTGTATTTCCCTGGTTGGGTTACCTTATAGGATCTGAACTATAAGATTGGTTGAAGATTGGTTGAACCATGCAAATGAACTACAAGAGAGACTACACTAAACCCTATAGCCTATACGTCCTTTTAAGGTTTATATATATATATACATACAATATACATATAGGGTTTAGGGTAGCATTCTCTTTCGTCAGTGCATTCAGGCCCAGACGCAGGCCTTCCCGCCGTCAACCCCGAGCGCCCATCTCGGGGAGTGTTGAGAGCAATGCTAGTTTAGAAGCTTTAAGTTTCAAGAGCTAGTATAATAATACTTGTTACAGTTAAATGAGCAACAATATTCCTTGGGGTCTTGATTGTAGTTGTTATACTGCAATATGTCCCAAAATTTCGATTCCCGGAGTAGTGGCAGTAGTCATAGCCGCCAGAGGAGTAGATGGTAGTACCGCATGTGACGGCGCAGCAGTCTTCGAAGTCGTCGAAGTCGTCGTCGTAGTAGTGGTAGTGGCTGCGTGGCTGTGCTTGTTGATGTTAGAGTGGCAATCGTTGCAAGAAGAAAGAGCGGGAAGTTTGGGAGCAGCCGTAGACTTCGTGGGTGATGACGGTGTTGGTGTGGTTGCTGGTGCTAGTGGTCAGAAAGACCATCTCAAATTGCAATTCTGTTTGATTGAACCTGCAAGAACTTGGAACGCCACAACCTGCAGGCCCAAATGATCCACCTGCCACTGTGCCGGACCGTAGACTAAACCTGATTCAGCCCTGGCATGGTATTGTGGGTGTACCCTAGGCCCTGCACCCGAAAACCCGAATCTTGAAACCTAATTAAACCCTAAACCCGAAGCCCTAAACCCTGAACCCTTAACCCTAAACCTTGCATCCTATAAGCCTGAACCCTAAACCCTAAACCCTTACAAGGTAGTTCATTCACCTCTAGTGAGAAACCGGACCTTTTTTTTCTGCTACCACATGACATGCAGACTGGCGCGGCAGATTTTTCTTCCTGGCTTTCTTGCCTGCTCCATCATGCTTACATAAACCCTTAAACCCTGATCATGAACCCGTCCATGACATGGTAACGGCCTGCCCCTGGGGCTCTAAGCTCAATGTGCTGCTGCAAAAAGGTCTCAGCCTGCTCCACTTAAGGGACAATAGGAGGGACCCCCTAGAAGGGACAAGGGGCCTTAGGGTTTAGGGTTTGGGGTTTAGGGTTCAGGGTTTAGGGTTTAGGGTTTGGGGTTTAGGGTTATTTTAAACATACCCTATTTATAACCCTTATATACCCCTTATATAGTCTCATAACGCCCCTATATGACCCCAAGGGTCCCTTTCAGGGTCCCTCCTTTAATCCCTTGATCAGCACTATCATTTGTACATAAACACTAAAAGCCCTGAACCCTAAAATTTACCTATAGTCTCCATTGTAGTTCCTTTTTTGGGGTTACCTTATAGGATCCGAATTATAAAATTGGTTAAACCAGAAAAAGGAACTACAATGGAGACTATAGGTATAACCTGAGGTCTAGAGATCTTCTCCTACCTGCTGGAGAACTTTGATTCGGAGGGGCGATTCCTGCTGCCGCTTGGTGGCGGTTTGGAGTTGGGGTTTGCGTGGTTTTGACTTCGGCGTCAAGAATGAGGAGTCGTATCCCTTACTTGTCGTTGTTGAATCTGAGTATTTCCGTAAGCCGCCAAGCCCTATCTTAATGATCGCGAGCCCTCGTTCCTGTTCCGCCTTCGGCTGCAGGGGTTCGGCGCTTCCCTGTGGATTCGGATCTTCTCTTTATTGGGTTCTTGTTTAGGGATTTCATTGAAGTTGTCGTAATAGGGATCTATGGTAAATACTAGAGTTTCTTCATTATGGCAACTTAAATTAGATCCCTTAACAAAACCCAGTTTTCTGTGTCCTCGGATCTTGTGTTTAGGGGCTTCGGGCTTCAGAGCTCCAATCTGGCACAAGCGGTCTTCTTGCATTTCTGTTATGTGGGTAGTTCTCTAAATT